CTTCTTGTGTGGTTCGACCTCACAGGTTTTATTTTCCTTAGAAAATGTTGGATTTCAAAATGCTGTCCATCATTATAGCTTTGGGCTGTATTTGGATCACATAACATGCCGCTACGCTTCTAGTTGACTCATCCGCCATTAGCTGTGACTTTCTGGCCGCGTGGCCCTTCCTTCAGCGTCGGTTGCATCATCTGCAGGTGTCCGACTGTCATGTTTGGCAACACTGGAGACTGAGCTGCCATTTTGAGGGGCTCCAAGCTCGAGCCCTTCTCGTGCTGTATGCATGAAGAACCAGCAGAGGGTTAATGAACAATGTGGCCTTACGGTATGAATTTTACACGTTTCTGTTTATTGTGGTGTAAAAGTGCACCGCATCACAGCGAAAGGTGCCGTGTGTAATACTGCTGTTACTTCCTTTATCAAGTGTTAAAGGAGTGGGAACAACTTCTTACGAGCTAGACTGCAGTTTCGGAATCCCGAATGCCCACTAGGCATGCATTGCAATTTGGTCATCCAGGAAGGATGCATAGATTTGGTACTGTCATGGGAAATGAAGATTAATGAAAAATTTGGGCCGAATGTGCTCTGAATGAGCTGAACAATTTGAAGTAGGAAGGGCTTGAATAACTTATTGGTAGGAGAAAGTCAACATGGAAAATGTCTACTGGTACATTGATTTATGAATCGTGTCACAGGAAATATGGGTGGCATAAAAACGCATTGAAATTGGGAATGTGAAAAATAGCATCCCATGTTTTTCGGACTACAAAGCGTACCGGATTATAAGGTGCAGGCTCAATGAACAGGTCCATTTTGGGAAATTTCTAGATAACAACCATTCGCACTCACAGTCACACCGAGGGACAATTTTGAGTGTTCCATGAACCTGCCGTGCATGTTTTTGGAATGTGGGAGGAAACCGGAGTACCCGCAGAAATCCCAAGTAGGCACGGGAATGCAAACTCCACACATGCAGGCCAGAGCCGGAATAGAACCCTGCACTGCTGTGAGGCCACCTGTGAGTGCTATTCAGTCGACTACCGTGCCGCCCTTCTGTTGAATCAACGTAACTATTTAGAAATGTGGATGGAGTAGTATGTCGAAAGTTGGCATCATGTTAAAAATAATGAATGTTGGTCTGGATGTAGGGCGGCCCAGTGTCGAGTGGTTAGCGCGTCGACTTCACAGTGCAGAGGTACAGAGTTCAATCCCAGCGCCTGCCTCCCTGTTTGGAGTTTGCATGTTCTCCCCGGGCCTGCGTGGGTTTTCTCCGGGTACTGCGGTTTCCTCCCACATCGCAAAAACATGCATGGCAGGCTGATTGAACACTCAAAAATTTTCCCTAGGTGTGAGTGTGAGTGCAGATGGTTGTTCGTCTCTGCGTGCCCTGCGATTGGTTGGCAGCCGGTTCAGGGTGTCCCCCACCCACTGCCCGAAGACAGCTGGGATAGGCTCCAGCACCCCCCGCGACCCTTGTGAGGATAAAGCGGATTGGAAAATGAATGAATAAATGATATGGATGTAAGGGTTTTGTGAAATAAAGCTTTTCGGCTACGAATGTGTTGGAGCATCTGTGTGAGGAGGAAACGCAGGCAGGCGCAAAGATGTGCTGCGAGCGGTGAGTTGCAGCAGGGGGATGCTGCAAAATAGGCCTACTGGCCAATGATGTGTGCAGGCAGCGGTTGCCAGGGCAACACATTGATTATTTAACAATTGGGATGAAGCTTGTGCCCTGCATTCGCGTCTGTGGGTGGCGTCACCGTCTCCGTAGTCAACCACGCATTTGACACACATAAATTGTGTATTTCCTTCTTGTCACTGTCTGCTTTTGATGCTTGTGAAGTTACTTACAGGATATACAATTTGGTTCATGCCTGCCCTCAGTGTATCTATACAACGGCATATGGGCTTGCATACTACCGGATTGAAGCATTTTGTCATCTTTAACATTGTATTGTCCAGACCAACCTCTGTTTTATAGCAGATAGTGATGATCGATATTCTGTCATAATTTTTTTTTCTTAATAGAAAATAGTCATTTAAAATAAACACACAGCTAACTCAAATTGTTTGTCATAGCAACATACAATTGAATTTTTTTATTTTTATTTTTTGTCCCTGGTAATTCTGTTTCTAGGGTCGAGTTCATCGTGAAACAGTATATGCTATACATGGCCACTGAACTTCATAAAGCATATATTAAAAAAAGCTAAATATTTAGTACATTTTCGTTTTTGTTCATATGTTTGTTTTTTTTAATCATTGTACAGTAAACACTTGTTATTTTGTGAAGTTGTTTGAAGGTTTGGATGTTTTGCATGATATATTAGCTAGCGGGCTTGCTTTATTGGTTTTTGGTTGAACAGTTTGATGATTAATATATGGTGTTTGATTATGACTTGTTGTATCCTCATTTGTATTTTCTGGTACTCTGTGTGTTAACGTAGCAGTTGTTTCAACCTTTATAATTAGCGTAACAACTATGCTAATTTTCATTAGCGTGTCCATGGCGTTTCACATTTTATGTTAGCATGAAACGTGCATATTTTTGTGATTATCCAGTATGGCTTGGTTGAACGTTTTGGTGTTTAAATAGACATTGTTGAATTTGTGTGTCAGTCTCTCATTTCTTGACAGCAGGAGAGTGAAACGGGCTGAGAGACATTTTTAAAAGTGGGTTTGAAAAAAAAAAACATTTTTAAAGCATGTGGAGGGAATGGAGGTATTAAAAAGATTTTCATATGGTCTCTCTATATGGCAGTTTGTCCCCTTCGTGGTGTTTCTTGAATATATCCACAATAATCCATACTCTTGAAAAGAAAAAAAATACAATGAATTGGAGGTGTTTGGATCAATGTCTCCAGCCTGAGGAGTGTGTGTTGTAGCCTTGAGCATGTGCAACCTGGATTGCCATCAATCTGTGAAATGCCATTGACTTGACCTCTGTAATCCTTAACCTACTTCCCATTAAAGGATTATCCAGATGCTGTAAATTGCCATTTGGCCCTCAATGGCCTTACTAGAGCACAGGCGGCCAAAAATGTGTGCTAAGATTTTGTGTTTCTCCTTAAATGCGGTCTCAAATTGAGAGTATTCGTCTTCCTTGATGCGGCCCACAGATATAAGTGGATGACCGTTCTAGGAACCGAGGCGGGTGAAGGGCGCTAATCCGGTCTAATCCCAAGGATTTGTCTTGTTTGCTCAATATTAAAGAAACGCATGTTGAGATTCCTTTTCCTGAGATTATGTTGTGATTTTTGTTTTGTTTGTTTGCTTGTTATGTCAGATGGCGATTGGCTTTTTACAAAGTATAAAACAGCGATTTTATACCACTGCTGGATTAATTTTAGTGCTTTACAGATGAGTTTCTGGGTTAACCAACACCAGTTGCTTTCTTGACTCTAAATCCCATAATGCAACTGGTGCCATTTTTGTATGTTTCTTTTGTTTGTTTAAAACAGGAGGCATACAATTTGTGTGCAGTAGTTCTTTCTCAGGAACAGAAACATTTAGTATTTAGATTTTTTGATCAATTAATATTTCATCTTTATTCTTGGAAAATTGTGCTTTTTTTCTCGTTTCATGTCTTTGAACTAATTTTAACATCTAAAGTCATAGTACACTTGCCGTGTACTATGACTTTATATTTTGACTTTCAATGATGCAAAGGGCTACTTTTGTCTTGTGATGTTGCATCGTGAAGTGTGTTCAATTTGAATCACATGTTGACATTGGAAGTGGGGCACGAAGGTCGCGGGTGTAGGCAGGGCACACCCTGAACCGGTTGCCAGCCATTCGCAGGGCATCCGCAGACGAACAGCCATTCACGCTCATGATTACACCTAGGGACACTTTTAAAGTGTTTCATTAGCCTGCCATGCATGTTTTTGGAACGTGGGAGGAAATTGGAGTACCCGGAGAAAACCCATGCAGACACGGGGAGAATATGCAAATTCCACACAGTAAAGCTGGAACAGGAGTCGAACCTGCTCCATTATATTGTATTACATTGGTTTGAAAGGAAGCTTGCTGAAAAACCATCATCATCATATTCATCATCATCATCATCATCATCATCTTCAATCCATAGTGATGACTTTTTTTTTTGTAAGAATATTAGGAGTCAAATCAATTATAAAAAATATGACTGGTAAATATATATATAAAATTTAATTAAGAAATATTTTTAAAAATATATATGTGTTACTTGTACTAATGAACATTTTTTTATTCTGTTATATATGATCACATTATTTTCAACATATTTGATAAATCTTTTGATTTTATTCTGCCTACATTTGCATTTCAATTATTCAGAATAAGTCAACACATTTTATCACACTGTCAACTTTTTTACTTAAAAAAAATAAGTTAATTTATCATTTAAAATTTATTTGTTTATGAAAAAGAAATCTTGAATAAATATCTAAAATGATTAAATTTACTAATATTTCTGTTGTTTAAAATAAATAAGCCAAACATTTAAGTATATTTGATTACATTTAATATTTTTTTAAAAATACTAACATTGTTGATTAAATTGTTTTTGTTTCATGTATAACAAACTAATTAAACAGTTATTATATACATTCAATTAAAAACTGTAATTTTAGGTATAAAGTTGTTTATTGTTTTTTGTAAAACTGATATGTGTAAGATTTTACTGAGTCTCAAATTATCCAGTTATTTGATTAAAAATATTCCAAATTGTAAAATTTTAACTCGAGTTCTTTGTTGCTTTTTTTGTTCTTATTTTACCCCAGGGTTAAGTGTGTGTGTGTGTGTGTGTGTGTGTGTGCGTGCGTGCGTGCGTGCGTGCGTGCGTGCGTGCGTGCGTGCGTGCGTGCGTGTGTGTTCGTTTATTGATGGTCTCTGGGCACCTGTGGTCATTTTCAACCCCTCGCACCTTCTCGGCTTCACTTGACTCCCATGTGATAATGTGTGTGCGTGTGCATCCGCCGTCATCTGCTGAGATAATGTGTATCTCTTCATATTCACAGGCCAACCCTCCCCCCATCATTGTCAACGCAGACTCACTAGATGCAGGCCCTTATGTAAGTATCTCCTCCCTCTCTCTTGCCCCCCCCACCCCCTCTTCTCCCACGCCCTCTGTTTCCCCTGTGTGTGTGTGTGTGTGTGTGTGTGTGTGTGTGTGTGTGTGTGTGTGTGTGTGTGTAGATGTTTGCCATGTGGACATGCATATCCATTATCCATTTGACCTTTGACCCAGCCTTTTGTTTTGCCAGGATGCCACATTGCACATTTATTGTCACGACCAAGAGCTGGAATAAACTCAAAATCGGATTTTATTTGAGTGTTGATGTGAAATCAAACAATCCATCGTGTGTTCATAATTCTGTTAGTTTTGAAAATTTGAGGATTTCGCAGCAACATTTTGGTGTCCAGTGCTGCCTTGAGATACGAGTAACCTGATTTCCGAGTTTGGATGATTTTGTTTGCTCAGACTTGTGAGCAAAAAAAAAAAAAAATGCATTTTCATCATGCATTTTCCAGTTGAAGTTTACAAACAAACTACAAACAAACTTCCTGCAGTTTACCGGGGTTGAGAATGACTAATGAGTTTCCTATTTTGAATTCACAAAGAGATCCACGTGTGTCTTTTGATAAAATGCAAGCCAGCCTTGCTAAGCAACTATTGTCTTCTCTTGTGTTACAGGTGAACGGCAGCGATGGCATGTACAAGTATGAGGAGATCATCTTGGAGAGGGTAAGGAAATGCTACATGTCGAAGTATACGGCGGTAGATCTTGGCATTCACTCAACATTGGAAGCAGTCTAACGTGTTTTCATTTTTGAAAAAGTACACATTCTACCCATAAAATTATGATTTTATTCCTCATATTGTTTTCGTTGCCGGAAAAAAATATATTGTTTTGGGATAATATTGCAACATTAGTCTCCTATTTGTTCAGGGGAACTCGGGCCTGGGCTTCAGTATAGCGGGAGGCATCGATAATCCGCACATTCCCGACGATCCGGGGATCTTCATCACCAAGATCATTCCGGGAGGAGCGGCCGCCATGGACGGGAGGCTCGGGTAAAGATGACTTACACTCATACTGTATAATACTGTATACTCATACTACAACTTCATTTTTCTTAAATTCTGACTTCTAACTTGCATTATCTGAAAATGTTGTTGTAACTTTGTTCTCATCCAAATATTTATTCATTCTAATATTACAGCTGTTATTGTAAAATCACTACAGTATTGTAACCTTGTCATAAAAATATTTTTCCACTGTAAAAATGCAATTTTGTTACCCCGCTACTACTTTTTTGTATATTGTAAATTTAGTGAACTGTTGTCATAATTTTTTTTTTGATGACTTTTATAAGTTTGTTATTGTGCAATTCTGAGTTTGCAAAAAGTTACCTTTTTTTCTAGTAAAATAATAAATAAAACTTTAGGGTAAAATACTTTCTCACTTCTTGATAAATTTCATACTGAAATACCACTCTGAAAATTTTTGACCTACTTTTTCAAATGTTCCTCCATTTTTCTTGTAAAATGACCACTTTTTTGTCATATTGCATAATGTTGAAAACTAACGTGAAACTAGAGCATTGGTGTCAAACCCAAGACCCGGGGGCCAGATATGGCCCGCCACATCATTTTATGTGGGGCCCCCGAAAGAAAAGCATGTGTGTCAACTTGCATGATCCTTGTTTAAAAAAAAAAAAAGTACCGTAACGTCAAATTGTCGTGTAATAAATGACATTGAGATTTTGCAATAATTTCATTACCCTGTTTACAGTCACTTGAACAATAATTGAACAAACTATTATAGTCGACTGATTTCAAAACTAGAAATCCATTAATTCGTTGTGTACAAGTAATACATGCGATGAGACGATTCAACATTTTTTTGTGGTTTCACCGTCATGACGGCCCTCAGAGGGAAGACGTAACACCAAAGTGGCCCGCGACAAAAAGGAATTTGACACCCCTGAGCTAGAGCATTTGTAGTGATGATACGACGACACATCCGCAGGGTTAACGACTGCGTGCTCCGCGTGAACGACGTGGACGTGTCGGAGGTGGTTCACAGCCGTGCGGTGGAGGCTCTGAAGGAGGCGGGGCCGGTGGTGCGCCTGCTGGTGAGGCGGAGGCAGGCCCCACCCGAAACTGTCCTGGAGGTTAACCTGCTCAAAGGGCCCAAAGGTAACACACACATAACCATTTCAGTTGTGTAAATGCAAATCTCAAGAAATTTCCGAAGGCTGGCCATTTTTGCCTGATTTTGTCATTTCAAACTTAAGCACTTCTTGACCCTTTCATGCACTCTGTAACCTGATAGCATGATAGGCTGTCCACTGACATTTAATCATTTTTGGACAAAAAGAACATTGTCATGTAACATTCCTCATTTGCAAAAGTCTGCACTCCAATGGAACATCTGAATGACTGAGTTGAAGAGGTTTAAGGGCCCTTTACTGACCATAGAGAACATTTTCATTTTTAGTTTTTTTATATTAATTGTGAAGAAATGGCAGATTGCCGTGATACTGTGAAGTAAAAGAAGCAAAAAACAGTTTGTGACCATTTGCACGTGTTTGGAAAAAATAATGATGCAAATAAAAGCGTTAACAATAATAGACATAATATGTTTTTGTATTGTTTGTCATTAAAAAACAGCAAAAAAAAAGACAATAGTAATTGAAGAAGTAATTCAGAGAAAAGAAAACTGAATGATGCTTCTTGGGTTTCTGGCTGACTTTTTCATTTAAGTGGAAGCTTCCTCTGCAGGTGTTAGGAAAAACTGCGTTTTTTTTGCAGAATATTTTGGCTTTAATCTTGCAATAATATGAGTGTACTAAATTCTGGTTGTTCTGAATGCTTAATAAACAATCGTGTATTCAAATAATGATCATTACTATACTTTTTATTCAAAGGCATTTTTTTCAATAAGGAGGTTTTGTGTTCCTTTATAATACAACCTTATTCTCATTCGATCGCAGATAGATATGCACCACTGTCTCATCTTGACTTGACCAGCGTACCTAATGAAGTGTCTACCCAAGTTAATGTAATCATAAATAGTAATAACGAATAATGGATTTTGTCCCAACAAGTGATGTTGTAGGTCTTGTGTGCTTTGTATGTTTTATTTCTCAAATGTTACACTATTTTACGTCAATCTTCCAGGACTTGGATTCAGCATTGCCGGAGGCATCGGCAATCAGCACATCCCGGGTGACAACAGCATCTACATCACCAAGATCATCGAAGGGGGAGCCGCCCAAAAGGACGGACGGTTGCAGACGGGAGACCGCCTTCTCGCTGTAAGATCCTCTTCATACTTCTTGTACAGTGGTACCTTAAATCAAATTTGGGGCCAAGTGGAAAAAAAAGAAGAAGATACCGATATACGTAGCAAGGACAGCCAAAGATGTTTATTTAACTGCATAAATGGTCAAACACACAAAGGCAAAATGAAAACACTCACAAGGAGCTGCTGTAAGCCACAACACACACACAGAAGGAACTATGTTAAAGTGAAGGAAGAGCTTCATTTCGTCAAATGTTGTGCTTTGCCACTATCTTGCAACATCTTCACGCACATACAGTACAGCATGAACGTGTGGTTGGCTGGAACGTGTTAATGGCCTTTCAGTTCCTTTCAATGGCCAATATTAATTGGCTAGACGTGTAAATTGGGTTTCGCGCTTGGTCATGGGATCGAATAGAGTGGTAAGTCAAGGTACTCAGACACGACCTACTGCTTTTGACCGCACTTCTCACCACGCGCACACCAACACAGCCAACCTTGGGCTTCTTGCACATGGTTGCAATATGTCCAAATCTCGCTTCATCCTACGTGCTGTGATCGCGTTGGCTGATGTGACGCCTAAGTGCCATTTTTGCTGGGTTTTTGTTTACATCTTCACCAATTTTTGGACTTTGGGAAAGAGAACTGCACACATTTGTCCAGATTATTCGCGTGTGTGTGTGTGTGTGTGTGTGTGTGTGTGTGTGTGTGTGTGTGTGTGTGTGTGTGTGTGTGTGTGTGTGTGTGTGTGTGTGTGTGTACCCCACCTGAGGTTTTCTCACAGCTTGTGTTCTTGGTTCAGGTGAACAACATCGTGCTTCAGGACGTGCGTCACGAGGAAGCAGTGGCTGCCCTGAAGAACACGTCCGATATGGTTTACCTCAAGGTGGCCAAGCCAGGACCCGTACACCTCAATGACATGTACGCCCCACCCGACTATTCCAGCAGTACGTATTTACTTCTTCTTCTTTCTCTCTTGTCCTGCACATTAGGGATAGTCACGATAATCGATTTTTCCACCATTGATTGTGTAGACTTGACTCCTTATCTTTTTATTGCACTGATTACCATATAGTAACAGGAGCTTAGATTTTTGAAAAACATCTCAAAACATTGCTAATCATGCCAAATTTAATTCATTTTCCCATGTACATAATTATTCTACTGATTATACAATCAATTTTATATTTGGGTGGGATCACGATGAATGTTGTGAACCCCGTTTTTGTACATTCCAATGGGGGGGAAAAACTGAGATAGTCTGAGCGACAGACTTTTTCAAGATTCAAGCTGTCATTCTGCAGATCAATTTTTTTTGGCTTTGACTTGCAAACAAAACTTTGAAAACAAGCCACATAACTCTGCATTACTAAAGTCTGCTAGCATAATGCGAAATACTTCATGCAAAACGCCAGAGACGAACTAATGAACAGCATCGTGGTGTTACAACCCTTTATGTCGAGGATATTTAAACACAAACAGCGGTGAAGCACTTGTAGATCCACTTTGGAACAGTATTCCCAGGCATATATTCTTTATCCTCCATGAACAACACCTAACACAACTTAGGCTTACTGAGGAGCTGTGATCGTGTCCCTGTATAGCTGTGTCTGTATTATACTGCAAAAAAAAATGTCCAAAACTGTTTCGTTCTTGCCATAGTTATGTCATTAATGTTTTTTTTAATGAAGAACAATATATTATATAGTGCTATTTTTCCGATGAAAAGTACAATTCAAACTTGGATTTTTCAGCCTTGGTGGAGGTCTGTTTGTGACTTGCATGTGCTATTCCACATTGAATAAGGATTTGTCAACTTAGAATCATGTCAGATTTCTACCTCCTGTCATCAAGTGGAAGGGCCTTTTTACTGTTATGCCAGTTAATACACAACACTGGCGTAGAACCATGAACAAAGCTACATTATTTGTCACAAATCATTTTTGGACTAATTAAGTGAGACTCTATTGGCACGATGTTAACTGAGAGGTGAAAAAAATACTAGCTCCAAATTTGTTCCTCCTCAAACAAAGACCCACTTCTCTGCAAATACACTTTACATAAACCTAACATTACATAACACAATAAGGTAACGCTTACTAAATAATATAATACCGTATTTCTATCTTGAGGAGTGATGAACCCGCATGAATTTCTTGCATAGGATCACTGCTCTCTTGCCCAAAAACGCCTGAGACACCCACATCGTGACAACTACGCGCGCACACACACACACACACACAAGCATTTCTTCCCATAGCAACAACAAGCTTAGTTCTCTGCCTCCCACTGAGTGTGGCCGGTTTCTCACATCCCACCTGCGCATGGGAGCCTACAATCTCGAGGCAAAGTGTCTCCAAATTCTTCTTCGACGAGCCATTTCGTAAGCACGCTGACTTTATTTGCCTTTGCCTCCATGCCACCCATGTTCACACGATCAGGATTTAAAGTGGATTTAATAGTACATGAGAGGTTTTTTTTTTTTTTTTTGCCAACCTGATATGGAGTTTTCATGTGGAAAGTTAAAAATGAATAGAAGAACTTGTTTTTTGTTTTTTGTGGACATGACATTAAACTCCTGTAAATTCATGGTTCACTTGTTCCCAGATTTTGTGCGCAAACTTCTCCGTTAATCACCATGGAAAGAATGAAACAGTTTTGGCATTATGATTTCATGCTTCACCTCAATGGCCATTGTGCCACTTTCTGCCACCAGGGAGCGGTATAATACCAACAGACATACTAGATACTGTAATCAAACTGATGTTAAAACAGAAGAAGGCAATCAGAGCTAAACTGCAGTAACATTTGTCGTTTTTTTTCAAGGATGTAAAATATATGCCTGTAACTGTTATACAGTGGTACCTCTACTTGCAAAATGAATTGGTTCTGGAATAAATGTCTTAACAAGAAAATTTTGTAAGTAGAGACGCATTTTCAATGTAAATGCCCTAATCCGTTCCAAGTCCCCCAAAATTCAGACATAAATGTTTTCTAAAGCATAAAAATGTATCAAAATATGTAACAAATACATGTTACAAAATAGATTATTGCACAATAAATGAGAGTTGTGAATAGTGTAAAAAAAACAAAAGAATAGAGTAAAGAATAAAAATGATGGTCATTTAACTTTCCTCATCGTTTTTTGCCCTCTTTAGTTCATGTTCTCTCTCAGAAGTGGTTTTTTGTTTTGTAAAGAACTGAGCAAAGGACATCTGCTTTTGTTGGCTTTGAACAATCCTTCAAAAATGTCCAAGGCAAACATCAGCAGAGTGAGCGATCGCCTGACTGGTGAGCACCTTTTCTGGGGATTCACATTTACGGAAAACTATCCGAACGCCTCATGGCCCGAGAGGCGAATGACGAGGACGCTGCATAAACACATAACTATCGATCTACACACATAGACACATACGGTAGAGGTCCCTCTTAGCCAATGGGATGCCCGGATGATGCTCGGTAGTAGCCAACGGCAGAGCAGCTTTAAGTATGTTGCGTTCAGGAAACTCAGAGCTGTGAGTAACAACCATCCTGTATGTTTACATTTCGTATCTTGAAATTTCTTTTGTAACTAGAGGCAATATTTTCCTGTTGAGGCGTTTCGGAACTTGAAAATTTCTTATGAAGAGACGTTCGAAAGTAGAGGTACCACTGTATGCTCTTTCTACATGTGTTTCTCCAGTTCAAGTCCAAATAGGTGTTTAAAAGTTTACAAGTACTACTGCTGTGTCACTATGAGTGCCGTGAGCACTTCTTATGGCTGTTCCATTTTGTGTTAGAATTAAGATAGTGGACTTTCACATGAACGTTAATGGTTATAACTCGAATTGTCAGCAAAAGTAAGAAGTGATGGTCCCATCAGTTATTATTATTCTTTTTTTAAATCTCATCTATTCTTCCTCCTTTTGACTAACTTCCTGTGTCCTGTATGGTGTAATCATTCTTGCTTTCCCCCCTACTGGCCTGGCCCTCCCTCCAGCCTTCCCCACCATGGTGGACAACCACGTGAGCCACAACTACATGGGCGCCATGGAGCCCAAGCCGCCCTACCCGCCGCCCCAGGTCACCCCGTCCAGGTACTCGCCCATCCCCCGCCACATGCTCGGGGAGGAAGACTTCACCAGGTAAGTTGCAGACCATGGAAACCACTTACTCCATTCTCGATATCCAGTTGAAGGTCCATGTACTAGTACGCTCTTTGTATTTCACTAGTATGACAGTTAAGCGCATTAGTAGAATGACTCGGGTGCACTAGTGGAACAACTTTGTCCTATTAGTTATGTTTTTTACACTAATGTATGCCATTTTGCCACACGAGTAGGACAACTTTGGCATACTAGAAGGACAACTCCATGCTACTCATAAGGCCAAATTGCAGGTGAGAACTTTGGTGCTACTCGTGGTGTCCTGGAGACTACTAGTGTATTACATATGCCGACGAGTTGGGCCTTGCAGTGTTACTAGTCCGGCAAGGTTGTTTATTAAATTGTGTGCTAGTAGGGCAAAAGTGGCACCACTATTACTGTGCAGAAATGTCATTCAGTAGTGGAGGAAAAAAAAGCACTCGTAATACACAGTCGTTCGACTAATGTGACTTAGTCTTTTTATGAGCGCACCCTTGTCGTTCTATTTGTGCCCTCAAATGTCATAGAGAACAAAATGTTCTCAAAATGTTGCAAGTAAGATTCTTTCTACTGCTTTAGCTTCAAGTCCATGTACTACTACACAATGAAAGACAATTCAGTGCCCTAGTGGAATGACTGTTTTACTAGGAATGTCCCGTCCCCCCCACTGCTGTATGACATTTCATCACATTAATAGGAAATCTTTGGTATTGTAATAGGACAACTAGTTGGGCCTAATAGTACTTTGTGCGATCATGGCATAGTAGTTTTGTAGTAATTCATTATGTACAATTTACAATACATCTTTGCATACTAGTAGTGGAAAAAAGTTACTTGTATGGCATAGTTGTTTCCCTAGTGCACCCTAGTTACTAGTTGTTGTATTCCTTAACGGTAAGCTTGCGGTTCATGTACTGGTACACTTTGTCCTTGCTAGTGAGGCAAGTCAGCACACCAGTAGAACCATTATTACACTCATTTGTGATTATTAATTTTTATTTTTTTACCACTACTAGTGCCACGATAGTTTGGCATTTCTGCACTCTACTGTCATAGAACATGTTCCCTGCAAAGCAAAACTCTGCACTAGTTGACATCTATGTGCAACTAGTACTACTAATGAAGCACGAAATGTTAACGAGTTGCATTTCACGTGACTAGTCGTACCGGTAGTAGTGCGCGGTTGCCAAGTAGTGCACAGTTTTACCTCACGGGTAACATGCTGTTGTCCTCCTACTAGGATGCTAAAATTGTCCTTCTCGCAAGGACAAAGAGCGCACTAGTACAATGACCATGGCTGGATGGGTCCCACCTCGCCTCCTTTTGCATTGACACTCACAGTCGTGTAATACCATCTGCAAAGATTCAAGCACACAGATTGCTTGGAGACAGAGGCAGAGGGTCTTTTTTCTTTTTTTTTTCTTTTTTTTTGTTGTTGCTGTTGTGGAACAAATGTGTCCCAACGCATACTGTAAAAACACTTTCTCTACCCTTACATACTATTCCTTTTCTATGCACATCATATGTTTCGATCATTTTAGCACAGGCAAAGAACGTCCTCGTAATAATTGTCTGTGTCAGATTATGGCCTATTTATAGATAACCTTACTAAATGAATTGTTAATCCTTAAAGTTTCAGACAAAATGATTTATTTTTGCATGTGTAGGTCTCAAACCTGTACCAAGGCACCCTCTGACCTCTGTATGACTTCACTTCCTGATATTGAGTATATGTCATCATTCTTATGCTTTTTCGAGATTCCCCCCATGACCCTTCAAAGACCAATCGTTGCATGTTTCTGTAGGAACCTGTGCAAATTGTGGTGGTTACGCAGACAGTTCTCGGGGCGGTTTCAAGCTCCCACTGTCCCATAAAAAGTACACACATTTGTGCCATGTCCAATTTCAACATTACTTTCACCATGATCACCATTTTCCTTGATTTAACACACACGAGTGAATGTAAAATCCAATCCACATGAAATCAGTGTACACAAATTTTGTAGCACACCAAAAGAGTTGCATTTCCATTTTTGGTACACTTTAGGAGAAATCGTAACATTTCTGGTGAAAGAATGACATTGAGGCTATTATTATTGATGAAAACCATCAACATGGGTCAAATTTGACCCGACAGTTTGTAAGGGTTCACAGTTTCAGTCCTGCATGGGTTTTCTTTTTTCATTGCTGTCGTCCAGGTCCTGTCACCGTGTGGTTGGCGTGAACACGAGACACACATGTTCAGTCACCTTGTGAAGCCGAGCAAATGTGGCTTTACATTTCTAAGCTCATTGCGCGGAGTTGACGCTGAGTTAAAGCTGGACAGTGTGTGGTGCCTTTGACCTCCTATCCCAAGAACTGAAAGTAGCATCATCGGGGGAGGGCGAGGAGGGGAGGGGGGTGGGGGTTTGGGTATCCCGCGAGGCCTTGAGTCATCTTAACCCACAGCTCTAGGGAGGAGGCTCCCTGTGTGTGTGTGTGTGTGTGTGTGTGTGTGTGTGTGTGTGTGTGTGTGTGTGTGTGTGTGTGTGTGTGTGTGTGTGTGTGTGTGTGTGTGTGCGTGCGTGCGTGCGTGTGTTACTGTTCTTGTCCCGTGCCCTGTAATGTCCTTTTGTGCAAACTGTCTACATTGTATGTCGCATCTTTTGTTGGTATGCGTCAGAGGTGGGGGGCTTTTGAGTCACATGACTTAAGTCACCAATTTTAGGACTTGAGACTTATGACAGACTTGACTTGACTTTAACGAGGTATTTCATGGGACTTGACTTGAATTACATGACTTGACAAGTCTTACCTGTTGGACATTCGAACCTCGAGATCATCAGTGAGGTTATTTTTGTTGTTGAAAGAAAAGCTTTTTTTGTGTGTGTGTAGTGCGCGAAAAAGTCTGATATGGAGAGACCATACAAAAACCCCTCGCACACGTTTCGTTTAAACTTCGTAGTGACTAACATCTGATGGATTTCATTTTTAAATGGTGCATGAATGTCAAATAGATAAAAATATGAAATAGGAATGCACAAATTCAAATTTGGATTACAAGCCTAACAATATCACTTGAAAACAAGGATATTGTTCTATATGAGATACGGGTTCCCAAATTAACTTTGTTTACTTACACATGTGAACCAGCACAAAAGGGTCAACTGTCAGAAATAATTAACGATAGAATTATGCGTAATTTCATGATATTAATCATGAACAGATTTACCTACATTCATCAGCAATGCTGATGATATCTGTTTGATTACCCCCCCCACCCCCCCCAAAAAAAAGATTCAAGTATCTACATACCTTGCAGATTGGGTAGCAACGCTTTCTACAGCAAGAAAACTACAACTCAAACGGAGCCGAGTAGGTTGGTTGAAGTGTAATTTGCATTCACATGCCGCAGTTGACCTACTGGTTTGATTACACAGAGCATTATGCTTTTGAAATGCAGAGCAAGGCAGCCGCTTGTAATTTCTCAAGTTCCAGTTGGAGTTCCTGTAGGCTGAAATGTCGACAAAGCAATTACATTGATCATGTGTATTCTATTTAACATGACCTGATCAAAAGAATAAATAATCATTTGAATCAATACCAATCACAGGACAGGCCGCGTAAATAAAGTGGCAAAAACACACTCAAATTCCTCACTGTCTCTAAGTTTCAGTTCATTGCTGTCTTTGTGGGTTTTTTTTAAACGCCAAAACTTAAAAATCTGCCGTCAAGCGTCTTGGTGCTGATTTCCGGCTTCCGCCTTATTTGATACACGACTCTCGAGCTATGACGAGATCTCGCGTATTGCGAGAAGTCACAAGTATTTATGGGGAAAAAAAAGATGTGTTAAAAGGATCGATCCATGTTTTTATGAATTGATATCTGACTATGAAAATAAAAATCGATTCTATTCAATTAATCCTTTTTTTTTTTTTTTTAACCCAGCCCTAATCTTTCCATCCATCCGGAGCTGTCGCCTAACTTCCTTGCTTCCGTGTTGGATCGTTGCGATGTGACCGCCTAGCCTCGTTTGATTGGTGAAATGCAATCAAACTTCTAGCATTGACTTTGCATTGTTGAATCTAATAAAACTGTGGATAAAGTAGCAAGCACAATATATGTCAATGTAAAAATTATGTTTCTACTTCACAAACCCATTCAAGTAAAAAAAAAAAAAAAAGTCTTTGACAAGTACAATTCCTCCACAAAGTTACTCAAGTCGAATATAATGTAGCACATAAAACTTGAGACTCATGACTTTGGCACTTGCGTGACTTACTCCCACCTCTGGTAATCGTGCTTTTCTTCCTGTCCTACACTTTGTCCCGTTCACTGTGATTCCTGTACCCCCACAGCCGAGCTGAGCCAATTTACAGTGTCATCCACAAACCTGGGGAGGGCAAAGGTCCCCAGGCTCTCTGCAGAGGCTTCTGTCCTTCCCCTGCACCCTTGTGCCAAGCTCCACTCCCCCTCTCTGGCAGGTACTAACCTAGTCTGTCACGCCTTGCTCAGCTAACCGTCCTCTCCTGAAAACCAGACAATAGACCTTTTCACCATGACGTCACACTTACTTCCGTTGGCGAAAGCGGTAGTGTTCTCCGATGACACCATTAGTCAACAACGTTTCAAGGTTTGTTTTTTTTTTTGGGTAGCGAGGGGGGGGGGACAGTAGATGATCAAAAATAATGACTCCAACTGCTTTAACAAAAGCACACACGCAGAGTAGAGGTCTGCTGAATGATATCATATAAACGCCGCGTCACATTTGTGCGGCTTTAGATGTTCTCGACTTCAAAATGTTCCACGACACGACGATGAAACATACACTCCAAAAGCAGCGCCTTCTCCCCTTTCGTCTCGTATTTTTTATTTTTTTTTCATAAAAGCGAGCCGTATCCGCTCTTGGCAAGCACATCTCTGCGGGAGGAGTGCAGCCGAAAGGGCTTTCGCGCTCCCGCAAGCTGCTCCGTTCCATCTGTCAGGAGGCGTTGATAAACCTAAAGCCTCTGTCTCAGGCCAAGTTTCCGACTGAAGGGGGAAAGAGATCATATTCAGCTGTATTGTACTTCATATCTGCAGTGCCTACCTGAGTTTGACGTGAACAGATCAGCACGTTTGTTCATTAAGTTGCATTGAGTCATTTTTCATTCCTTTGTAAACCCTGATGTCTCTGTATGTCTGTGTGTGTGCGTGTGTGTGTGTGTGTGTGTGTGTGTGTGTGTGTGTGTGTGTGTGTGTGTGTGCGCGTGTGTGTGAGAGTGAACCCTGCTTTAATGAAAAATGTGTCAAAGTATGTAGGGCTGCATGGAAAAACATTTGAGCAGTCCCCCCTCCTCCCACATAAAGAAGAGAAAAAGGCTGAGTCGTTATATGCTGCTTAAGTCCATGTACAAGTACACTCTTTCTCGTCACTAGTTAGACAATTCAATGAGCTGGTAGAATAACTAGGCTGCACTAGTGCTTCTAGTGAAGCAATCAATACATGTCAATTCGTAGTTTTGCCTCACTAGTAACATGAAGTGGTTCTACCAGTGTGCCAAAGTTGTCAAAGAGCATACTAATACATAGACCTTAAAATGTGTATCAAGGATACCGAATAAGTACTCAAACAGCTTTATGGAAAGTCATTTGAGTGCCTAGTAGTCTTATTAGTGCTGCACAGCGGTTTATTAGTACGGTTTCATTGCATAGTAATAGGCCAAAAGTGGCACTAGGAGTGAGGAAAATGTTGTCATTTTACTAGTGTACTCTCGTCATTGTACTAGTGCGTTGAATTGTCTTACCAGTAAGGACAAAGATTATGCATGGACTGTAAACAGGACACCAAGGAGATCGAATAGATGCTCAAACGGCTTTCCATTGCTCTGTTACTTGATATCATTAACTAATTAGAGTTTGTTTGTCAGGAAGCTCACCTCTGTTTTTTCACTGGAAAACTCACCCATTCCCTGTTTTTATGCTGAGTCTAAAGCAATAAAAATATTGCTTTGGTGCAATCTTTTTGCATCATAATGCCAAGCAACTGTGTTGAAGTGAGTTGAGGAGCTCCGTTTTGACAAATGGCGTGCTTTGCTGCCATCTTGTGGCCTCTTAATTGCTCAGCACACATGTAGCGTGAACACCATGTACCCCATGGTTGGCCGTAGGGGACATGCAGCAGATGAGCAGCGGCCTCCATCCGGGATAGCAAACACCTCGGTACAAGCCCACCGCGGCAACTCTCAGCACGAGGAGACTAATTTTAGACGCCTGCTACAGTAAGCGCACAAGTGGAGCAGGCTGACTGTGACGACTGAGTCAGAGCTTATAGCGGCCTTCTGCCCATCTTTGCACCATCCTGACACAATCCAACGTTGTCGTCGCCCACACGTGCCACCTCTGAAAAGGACGTTACGTCTTGTGGTCTGGAGACTACTTTCAATACAGTGAGGCCCTGTTTATTGTGGGAGGATACGTTCCAGACCCACCCGTCACAGGTGAAAAGCTGCAAGATGGAGAGACAATCTTTTTAAAAAAAAAAAAAAAGCATTGCTACTCCTACACACTTAGACATATTAAGACACTTAAATGTATCAAAAGCCACTTACTTAGCCGTTCTCCCTCAGTTGCTGCTCCCCAAAAAATGTCATGGTATAACATCCCTTGAAGGAAATGAAAAGAAGACTCGCACAAATAAAGAGCAAAAACATGTTTGTCACTACCAGTTGAGGTGTACTGTCACAACAAAAGAGAAACGAAACATTGTGTATATGAACACCAATATGGTCAAAGAACCCATGTCATGAAAAGTCCATTCGCTTTGTGCTAACATGTCATGTAAAATGCCATAGACAGGCTAATGTGATTTTGAATCGATGTCATGGTAATTCTAATACTAATACTCACAGCAGCAACTCATACAGAGCATACAACAAAAGAGAAATGAAAAAAAGATTTTTTAAAAATAACATATATTTAAACACCCCAATGTTTGTCCAAACCATATTTATCAAATGAAAGTCGGCCTTCCTAATGCTAACATATAATACAAAATAAATAAATAAATAAATAAATAAACAAACGTGCTAACAGACGCTATCATCAATATTGCAGTTATTGTAAACCTTCAAACGACTGCTACTGAACACACATGGGCACATCAACACCTACAATACAAACAGAGCGTACAACTCGTACATTAAACTGGACTGACCACAAAAACAGCAAACAGGTGACTGTTTTAGTGGATAACCGAGGCCAGGATCCCCCCCAAAAAAATCCAAGAATCGGTGACTATGTGGGCAGCATTTACGTGACACATACACCCTGGTTGGGAATCACTGCACTCGTCTCCTAACCTCCAGTAACACTGTAGTCAAGTCTGCTGTTCTAGTCAATATTTGGATGGGGGGATAAAAAAATTTTCTGCCGTACATATGAAAATCAAATGACACCAGTAAGTTCGGTGGCCCATTCCCAGGCAAGGAACATGGGGAAAAGTTTCCTTATTTATCGTGTTTGGTCAGGCTCAAAACACAAGAAAGCATTCAGATTGCGACAGCGGGTGAGCTAATCAGTAACTTTAAGCACTTCGCATCCGCGCAAACACAAAAAGCTTTGACTCGACAAATTCATGCACGGATAACGAGGAACACTTTGACCTTTCGCTTGGCGTGTTAAAAGATGAAAAGGTGGAAAAAAAGAGGCGCTGAAATGAAAGTAATCACAGCAAATGAAGCCAAGTCCTCGTCTGAGGTGTTAATCAGCCACCGCGCGTTATTCTTAGTCACAGCGAGAAGCCCGAAATGTAAATTCGTCAAATGTCAAATTAAAAGAAGAAAATGGCGCATTACTATGGAAAGACTTTGGTTTTTAAGGTAATAAAATATAAGAAAACCTTTATTTGTCTCACAATGCAGAAATTCGCAATTTACAGCCGCAACATTTGGAAAGAAAGAAAAACAATTTGCATGCACACAAGTAAATTTAAAAATGAACTGTACACAATACAGAATGAAATATAATATGTAAAATATAAGGTCTATGTAAAAAATGTCATGTTATTGAGCTGAGAGAAACACAAGCTTCTTGTCTCGCATAGATCCAGAGTGTAAAAAGTGCCTTCAAACTACTTTGCGTTGCTTACACACTTAGCAAAGGGAGTTCTGGGAATCTTCCTACCTGCCTAGTCTCAAGAGGCTGACACACAAGAATGTTGTCGTGCAGAAACAAAGGAGGGCTCGACATTGGTCTACTGAAGCTCCATTTGCAAAGAGTAAATACTCAAATGAAGTGAATTCAGATATTTCTTCCTAAATATGTTGTACATGTTTGCAAATAATGACAGAAAATATGCAAAAGATTGCGCACGATGTAGTACTCTCTTGTAAAGCTACATCATTACACAGTTTTTCACTATTTCAGTTTTTATGCTTTTTTGGGGGGGCGGGGGGTAAAACAGAGCCTAAGTGCGACATGATAAGAACTTGACCCTTTGTTTGTGTCAGCAGTTATCCATCAATTGAGACGTGCTAACGAAAATACATCTTCTCTGTGTATAGACCCCTGCCATGGCTGCTTTAGAGCGCCTCATTGTTGTCCTTTAGTGACAAGAGAGAGAAGAAAGATGAAGAGCGAGGAATTTCTTTTTCATTTTTGAAATGACAGTCAGTGTTTGGACGAGTGTTTCGCCATGGAAACCCGCAACCCGGTGGGTTATTTTCCGCCCACCGGAGGGTATAATCGGATGTATTTTTCGCAGCTCAAACATGTGGTTATTGTCGGCATTAGGAATGACGCTTGACAAAGTAGCATCTATTTTTCCAGGTCGTGGTATTGGTATTTGATTGACAGTTTGCATTCAGTAGCGCATTCAGTTGACACACCCACAGCGTTCAGAGAGAAAGAGAATGGTTTCCTTTTTTTTTTTTTTTTTTTGTAAAGCCTCAATCATTCAATATTTTTCACGGGTGTTAACACAACTCCGTGGTGAGTCAAATTTACAAGACATTTATTTTCACTTTCCAGGGACTTTTAAGTACTGTTAAAAGTATCTGCACTCAGTTACTTCCCTCCACAGGCGTGAGGGTTAAATGTTAAGACTTTCTGGTAATGATGATGGGCCGCGAGTGTTTGGAGCTGGTTCCCATCACACAACACGGTCATGAGATACGGTCGAGGCTTGTGAAAGTGACGCGCCTCTGAGAGGAAGGCCAGATCGGAAGAAGGCGAGCTACTGCCGCCATGTTCACCGTCAATGTCTCGTCCTCCATGTCTCTCAAGAGGAGACTGCCTCCAAAATGCTCCGCCAGAAGCGGTCGTCAGACTGGAATCCGAAGGTAACGCGCGCTAAATCGGCATCTTGGCAATGAAGTCACATAGTGATGTTGGAGGCTCTGTTGGGTAGTTGATTCGATGTGTGTTTTTTTTTTTTAAATTGCGTGTCGTTGAATCTGCTAAAATCTGAGGTGTTCAGATCTGCGCTAGAACACAAGCCCATTGGAATAGTAATGATGTCAATATGTTCTGTGGAAACCCATTATATTTCATAATTGACTCTTCTCATCATCTAATCATTTCTTTGACGGCTAACATAAAGACAAGAAAGTAAAATACTTAAATGAAAACATTTAGCTTTTTTATGCTATGCTGTAAAGAGGTGTCAAAATCAATTGATTAATTGACAACTAATCAACAATTTTCATTTGCCATAAACTTCCTGAATGGAGTCATCTTTTCTCATGATCATGATACACACTTTCTATGACAGACTGTGACACCTACTCTTGTTTTTACCATTCATAAATATACTCTGTTCGAATGTAAGGTGCCTAAACGTGTCGAACTTACGTCCCGCCATTTCCCTTCCTCGTAATTAAAGTGACAAACCCGATGCTTACTTTTCAATGGTAAAAAATAACATCAATATATATATCGACCAATATGAAATACTTAGCGTTTTCAGTCATATGACCCAGCCCTATCATCTACACAAAAGCTGTTCTGATCTCGAATCTCAATGCAATGCTGCCATCTCCTGGCGTTAATTATAACAGTGATGTGGAAGCTTGAATTTCACAGACAAGCAGGGCGAGACCCTTTTCCACGTCCATAAAGATACTTGACAGATATATTTGTGGGTGGCAAAAAACGGTTGTATTCCATTTGGCGAACATAAACATCTACAGCAGTGAATGAGTTAATTGCTCTTGGAGGTGCCCCCTTGTGGTTGTGGGATGCTTAGCGGGTGCTTAGTTAGCTTATGCCTGAGTTTGACCCCTTTGATCATAGTCTATTAGACTTCCTGTCCATCTGGAAGCTTTCTTACACACAATTTGTACTCTTTTCTCCAAATCTCTTATGAGTAGCTAATCAAGGCTTTTCCCAGGCATGGATCTTAAAGTTGTGGAATGCTGGGGGGGGGGGGGGGGGTAATCACAACTTATAGCCCAGCCAGTTGGGATGCAGATGTAAATGTTCCTGTCGACTGCAAGAAAAGCCACGAGTGGGAACCATGTAGTGTTTTTGTGCCAGAAGGAATGCGCGTTTGCGTGTGAATGCATACATAGGAGCCTCATGTATGTTGTTTTCATTGTCGTCACTCAAGTCAGTGCGTGCAAGGCCAGCGTTGCATGGGCCTCCTTAATATTTGTGTTTGTGTTTAACAGCAGTGGCGCTCCAAAGCACCCTAAAATGGAGTCCGTTTCGAAAAGCCTTTCTGGAAACTGAGTCATCGCGGTTAATGCAAAAAGCGGAGAGTGAGTGGTGGGGATGGGACTGCAGTGATCAATGGGGCAGGATGTGTGTTATTCTGTCGGCGTACGTTCATTTTTGAGTGGGTGGTGATGTGTGTGCGTCCAGCCAGTGGATAAAAAGCGCTCGGATCCACTTGCGTGGCTACTTGTGCTGTTCTGTATGTCAGAAAAAAATGCAGTGTTATCCAACATCAAGACTGCAACCTCCAATGTGGAACACGATCAACCTCGAGTTTCCCATTTAGATCAATTATGTTTGGAAATATCCCAGGTAATGTTTCACGTATAATTCTAACATGATTAACTGTCATAAGTGTCATTTACAGGGTTTACAACCATACTGACACATTTTAAGGGAAAAGCTATATATATATATATATATATATATATATAGGGTGGACTTTTTTTAAATCTTTTTTTTAATGATGTACAGCGAACCCCCATTTTTTATGAGAATACATTCCAGACGCAACCACCATTTTTGGAAATTTGCGATATACAGACTATCTCAAAAGCGTGTTTTACCCTGATATGCGCTGAACACATTTCAACTCATTAAAACACAATGAAATGTATTAAGTGTTATCGAACCCTGCACCTCTGCACTGTGAGGTGGACGTGCTAACCAGTTGACCACCGTGCCGCCTGCATCATGTTTTATGTATCATATTTTTTTATTGCTCCATTATGGGAACTGGTATTGTAAAATCATAGGTGGCTGTCCGGGAGACCCTTGTTTATTTTCATTTTCAGTCATTTTTCACATCTTTATCTTATCAGCCCTGACGCTGCGGCTCTTCTCGTTTTTGTCTTGGCAGGGAGCCGAGAAAGGTGTTGCTGCACAAGGGCTCCACAGGGCTGGGCTTCAACATTGTAGGCGGGGAGGACGGCGAGGGCATCTTCGTCTCCTTCATTCTGGCCGGGGGGCCGGCTGACCTGAGCGGCGAACTGAGGAGAGGCGATCGTATTCTTTCTGTGAGTACATCCACATGGAAGCTTTGTATTTGTCCCTGTCACGATCATAACAACTCATAACCAAGTACTTTACTCACACTCTGAACTTAAGAAGAAGTACAGATACAGTGCCGCCTTGAGATACAAATAATGAGTGATTTAAGATACGAATGCTGTGGGGGTATACTGTAAATTTGTCCATTTAGCTTCATGCTAACACACAATGAGAAACACCACATACAGGTAGACAGCACACTTTACATTATGGTAGTGTACGTTCAAAAGTTTCAATTTGTTATTGTAGGATCCAGAAAATAACCCACTTCTCAGTTGTTTATTTGCAACAATTGCGATCCTCTAGCCTCTGTTTATATATTAGCTCTTCACGCAGAATTGCAATTAAGACACGAGATGCACCCTGCAACTTGTCTTTTACTTTTTCTCTTAATGACAACAAAATGCTCCTAAATTGAAATGATATGAATGATCAATTGAGATCTTTGTTTTGGTCGCAGGTGAACGGTGTGAATCTAAGGAACGCCACACACGAGCAGGCGGCCGCCGCCCTCAAGAGAGCCGGACAGACCGTCACCATCATTGCTCAATACAGACCTGAAGGTGAGCCTTGAGCTCTTCAGTTTCTACATCACTGGAATACAAAGTGGGCAATGAAGGAGAAAATATAGAAAATGGATGGATGGTTAAATCTAATGTTGGGCAGCATGGTAGACGAGTAGAATGCTTCCCAGACATTTGTTGGGCAAAGGCACATATTTTAAATCTGATGATCTCTGATTGCATGTATTTTTTTTTTTTTTTTGGTGTGTGTGTATTTTTATGCTGCCTCGATGCATATGCCAATTGTGTCACCTTTTAGTGTAAATCCCGCCAAATCCAAGGTGACGCGTTTTGTTTTATTAGGCTTTGTGCGCCATAAATTCTGCCTAGTGACAAGTGACCTCGAGACTTAAAGAGCTGCTGAAATATTCATCCACTTTTAGAATGAATCACTATAGTCTGTGGGGTTTACTGTTTGCAATGTTTCCTAAAACTGGAGTCAAGGCACATCTTTTACATTTAAAAAAATGTCATGGGAAACCACTAAACAAAAATGTCACAAAAAGCACAAACATACATTGAACTAATGATGATCTCATCTTAATTTTCTCACAAATGTACTTAGTGTGAAATGTGGGTTTGTTCACAATTTATTATACACCTACAGGACTCCATACTGTAGTATCAGCTACAAAATCAGCAAAACGATTATTCAAACGTCATCTTAATTTGTCTGCTACATCTCCATGCAGCAAATGAATGTGGCCTCCTCAACCGTCATACCACTTTCCACATTTAATATGGTGACAACGTTTAACGTACAATATGGCGCTAAGGCGTGCTCTATTTATATTTGTTTTCTATGTTTCTTAATACTTTTCATTGTGGGATACATTAAGGGCACGAAATAGGACATTTCGCCATGACGTCACACGCTCTTCCAGTTTTCAAAAGCCAAAGCTTCCCCAATCCGCCACTAGTAAGCAAATCCTTCCATGTTTTACGACCAAGGCAGAATGATTGAGAGAACAGGACAAAAACACTTGGTCCGCACTAGCATGACAATTCAGCACAGTAGTAAAAAAGAGTATTAGAGCATGCTAGTAAAATTTTTCCGCTTCGACAACCACTTTCAGCTTTCTACAGTAGTATGCAATCATATCTTACAATGCTATACGATACCTGGCTTGGCCGCGGAAGCGCGCTAGTCCCCGCCTTGACAAGCTCCCAATAGGCTCTCGCGGACGGATATTGAGTGTGAGAGGGGGCGGTGCCACGACTAGCATGCAGCCGGGTTAGCCTGAGTAAGGCGGGCAAATCGACCGCCGTTGACCGCCCCTTTCCCCGATCTCAGTGTCGACTGGTTCCCCGGTGAACAAGCACAACAGGGCAGACCACTTCGATAATAGGAAAAAAAAGAGAGACTTGAGGAGGGGAAACTATATACGACAAAGCGCGGAGAAAGAAAAGGGCTGGATATAGGCCAAGTGAGCAAGTTTAATCGGACTGGCAGCCCCGTTGAGAGGATGGGGGATGGGCACTAAATAGTGCACGGCAGTAGCCCAGCACAAGCCGCGTGAAGTCGCTCATGGCTGGCTGAAGACCCGACAAAACATCGGCGGAGAACAGAGAAACCTCCGTCCTTTCGAGGTGAGATGACGCGACGTTTTAACACCCAGAAAAAAAAAGCAGTCAAAGTGTGCTGTGTTTGTAGATGCGCTGAACAAATTTATTTCGGGAGCCCGGTACTCTATATACTACTAACCTGTAGTGTATTCACTTCCTCGGTCAGTGGAGGTTATAGCTAGTTAGCTACTAAAACACTTAAATTAACACTTTAGCCCGATTTAAGCATACGTTTTTATATACGAATGTGTTATATTGTTCATAATCATACAATTACTAGGTTTACTCACGTTAGTGTATTAATGCTTGCCACTTGTATGTGATTAAACCATTTCAATTGGATTTTAATCTTTTTAAGGTCGTTTGTTACTCGACACGGTTGAGGCTGGATTAACTAGTACCGTGTAGTAGGACACGGTGGGGTGCATTGTTATGCCGCTAAAACTCACTTCTATGCGGCTCTTATGTAACTCCATTGCTTAAGGTGGGGGAAGCACAGGTGTGGTCCAACAGGTGTGTATGGAAAGCCGTTCGAGCATGTATGCTATATCCTTGGTATCTTGTTGCTGGTCCATACACTCATAAACTCTTTGTCCGAACTAGTAAGTACATTCAGATCACTATTCGAATGACTGTCTTACTAGCAACTTTATTCCCACTACTAGTGCCACTTTTAGCCTACACGTATGCCATTACTGTACACCTTACAAATGAACTACTGTACTGCAGTAGTAACACTAGTCCAACGAGTGGGCATGTGTCACATACTTGTCGTTTCCTGGAGCCTACTACTAGCTCCAAGAAGCACACCACCTTTTGCCTCACTAATAGTTGCCAAAGTGTCCTATTAGTGTGCAGAAAGGTCATAGAGTAGTGGAAAGCATTTCACTACAGTAGAAAAACTTTGGCATACTAGTTGGGTAACTAAAAGGTGCATGTGAAGGGAAACTGCTGTCGTTGACATCTGCTTGCTACAAGTGCAGAGCGTTGGCTGTTAACTAGTAACGTCACTGGAAGTGGTCGTAGCACAAAGTTGTCTCTTAGTGCAAAGTTCTTCCTAACATAAACATGTAGTTGACTAACTAGTATCCCAAATATGTTATATTAGTTTGGACAACAATAAAGACCTTAAACAGGATTTATTTTATGTTTTTGCATGAAATTTTCATTGCTGCAGTCTGAAATGCTGACAAATGCAAACACACCAGACGTGTTGTCATGACATCGGCTTTGCTATAACAAAGTATGACATGTTTGCTTTCGAGTTTTTCTAGTTTTTGGGTGCGTGTTTTCAGCATGCCACGAGGACATAATGACAAAGATATTGTGAGCTCCCGTCAATACAAATGCACGCGTTTAACCAGTAGTCCCACTCGTTTATCCCAAAGCTTGAGTCATCACTTTATGAAGGCATTTAAATGTTATATTTTCTAACATGTACTGTACTAGTAATTTAAAATTCAGTACTTTTTTTTTGGCCTTTATCTCCTAACTTGTTTGTCTTGTGAGTATATCCAGGAGGTTTAATTGCCCTTGAAACGTCAAACTTCTCAGGCCTTCAGAGGAGCAAGGCAATTGGGGCGTTACACAATTTTAGTCATGTTCAACCAAAAACCTCACAAATGGGTGAGCGTTGACTGTAATACTGCACGACAGCCCCACTTTAGTTATGTGGTTAGGTCACATACTCCAAAGTTTGCCCGCTTTCTGCTGCTGAGGGCCACTTATCTGTGTACAATATTTAACCACGTACAACAAACATGCAAGACAAGTGCTTGCTAATGATTGACTTCCTGCAACCCCTCCAGTGACCCGAGGCCTCTCCCCAGTAACACTCTGGCATCCCAGACTGGTATGCGAGTGTGGAACGTTGTTCCTTTCGGATTTTGGCACAGGAGGAACCAGTTCCCCCCTACCCCTGTGCGCTCTCAAGGACAGTCTGCACAGGAAGTGGGGAGTAAATATGAGTTTATCTGTGCTTCGATTGACTTGCGGAAGGCGTGTTGTTAGACTAAAACATTGACATGATGGAAATATGAGGAAATGCGGCAAGCCTGTTTGTGCAAAATCAGCACACTTGAGCTCCAAAGGAGTGGAGAGTGAACCCCAACCACACCATTAGTCTGTACAAGGGTGACCTTGACTTACAAGTACTAGCACTTTTTTTTTTTTTTTTGCAAGCCGTTGCTAATCGATTACCATATTAACTAACAATTATAGTGATAATCAATTAATGGTTTCGAGATATTATTGAACTCAAAATTGTTCAAATGTGTGGAGGTTGCATGTTCTCCCCACACCTGCGTCGCTTTTCTCCGAGTACTTCGGTTTCCTCCCACATTCCAAAAACATGCAAGGCGGGTGAATTAATACTGTAAATTGTCCCGAGGTATGATTGTGAGCACGAATGATTGTAAACGTCTGTGCGTGCCCTCCGATTGGCCAGCAAACCACTTCATGGTGTACCACTCCGGCTCCCCAAAGATAGCTGGTATCAGCTCCAGCACTCCCGCGACCCTGATATATGTATGTATGTATGTACGTACAGTAATCCCTCGTTTATCGCGGGGGTTACATTTTTAATTAGATTAAATATTTTAATCGTTTGACAGCTCTTATATATATATATATGTATGTATGTATGTGTGTGTGTGTGTGTGTGTGTGTGTGTGTGTGTGTGTGTGTGTATATCCCTAAAACTAGGTTTTAAAAACATTTAACATTTGAATATCATTTCAAACTCTTGGTACAAGACTCTTAAAAATAAATGGCTTGCAAATGATTTGATTTAAAAAAAAAAAAAGCTGCATGTTCCCTTCGCAACCTCTAAAAGTAGCAAAAATCAAGCAATAACGAGACCTCCATTTATTGTTGGTGTTTACAAAGCAACATGCATTGAAGACACTTCATAACTTCCACAAACAACACAGGCTGAACTTGGTTGCTTTTTGGCATACAATAATTACTTCGAACAGTCGAGATGATACTTCCTTGACACAACTTACTCTCTCCATTTCAGTCAGGTCTTAGGTGTCATCTTGTCATATTTTAGGCCTTTACAGAAAGAGCACAATAAAACACAAATCGGTATTTATAGATGTGATCACTTACGTTATTTGGTGAAATGTTGAACAAGGTCATAGTTGAATATGTGGGATTCACTCCCTACAAACAGAACACACTCTGCTATTACGAGTACATGCCGGACACATTGCGTAAGTGGATCAAAAGAAGAGCCGCTGTCCCCCCCAAAAATAAAATGTGAAAAAGCTGCGCGACTAATGAGGACACGCAGCTTCAGAACAGTCCCAGTTTCTATTAGCTATCTCTTAGACCTCCCATTGGGTCCGCCGCTACTGCTGCTGCTAAAATATAAGCTACAGTAGCTCTTTGTGTGTGTGTGTGTGTGTGTGTGTGTGTGTGTGTGTGTGTGT